CCCCCGCCCCCGCCCCTTCAGACCCTGGCAGAGGATCCCCAGCCTCACCAGCATCATGAACTGCATCTGCTTGGCCTTCTGGCGCCTCATGTCGATGTCCGTGAAAAAAGGGGCAACTACGGGGTCCGCCTGGATCTGCAGAGGTCGGCGACGGGGCACAGGCGTCACAGAGATGGCAGCCACAGGTGGCAGCGGTGGTTCGCAACGCCAACGAGGGGTTGGAGAGAAAAGCGTGCCGGGGAAGGCACGCGGGAGGGGGGGTCCGTGGCTTGTGCAGCTCGCCCAGCCAGCAGGACAAGCACTGGTGCTCCCTGACCAAGGCACATCGTACAGACTCTCACCTTCTCATAGAACTTGGGGAGACGATGGCGAGCGTGACATGCAAGGTGTTGGGTGCGGCGGGACAATTGTGTGAGGCATGATATGCATCAGGGGTGTTGTGATAACCTGCGCCCAGCCATGCTGTGCAGGCACGGTGCCACCACCTGTGGCAATGTTGGTGGTGGTTGCCAATGGGCCTGCACCTGCACGCTGTCTCTGCGCTAGGCAGCGTCGGAGCATGCAGTGGCTCAGTATCTCGGCGCGCCACCAATGCAGCGAGAGGGGGTGGAGGGGATCAGCGGCCATTTGCTCACCTTCTCAACGGCAACCTTGACGTTGTCCTTGCCCCCAAGCTTCTCGAATATGGTGGCTACGCCACTCGCAGGGGCTGCGCTAGTCATGATGAAGGCGGATCTGGGTGCTGGTGCTTTCGGGCGAATCGGGACGGTGTTGCTAACAAGTGCGCGAGGAAGGGTGGAAACGAACATGGCTGCGAACGGACAGGACAGGCGCTGAGTGGAAGCGTCGGAGTCACGGGAATGCTCCCTGGCCCTTCGAGGTGGTCTCTTTCGGAATCGAGGGTCAAGAAGACGCTGATGTACCGGGTGTAGAAAGGTACTATTGAGGTGTGCGTGTCATATCACATACAAGTCCGTGTCTGGAGTGTTGATGGCGGTTGAGGAAACGGGCAGGCTTAAATAGCGTGGTCCGCGTCGTTGACTCATCGGTGTTGACCACGCAGTCGTCATAACGGGCCGACAGGGATGGACGCCCTGTCACCATTTACAAAAGGCGCAGAGATATGTTCAGTAACAAGCATGTCGAGAGGTTGATAGAGGCGCTCAGGAGAGGGTCCATACTGGCCCGAGCAACCGTTCGTCCATGGCGGGCATGGCCATCGTCACCCGTTCATCACAGCCTCAAGGGTGACATGAAACATCCATCACCATGCCCTGACGCAACGAACAGCTGACCGCAGCGGCCAATGTGTAGTGGTGGTTGACCAGTCGTTGGTGGCAGGGTCGCGCATATGATAGCTAGGCCGGCACCAAGCCCGTTGTGTCCCTGCTGCATGCTTGTACGGTAATGGTTGCCTGCCACGCAGCGCGGCTGACGGCACACATTGTTGCATGACTCTCGTGCCTTGTTGATGCAAGTGTGCCTTGGCACTCAAAAAGGACGGTGTAGCTGTTGCGGCACAGCTTGGTGACCAGCTACAAGGAAGTTGAGCAGGACAATAAACGCAGCACGCACTGCATGCAGGCGGCCATCACGTTTCAACCTGGAATGGGCGGAGGACGCACAATGTTGTTTGAATCCTCAACACCCGTGCAACTAGCTGGACTCATTGTGGACAGCATCACGACAGTTGGGCTCCGCATCAGGCGGCGTGCGCCTGCCAACATCAAGCTGTTTGACCAATCGGCCGCTGTCTAACGCCACAGCGAGCGAACCATCACCACTGCTTAGTTCATAGTTGATCGTGCAGGCAGGATCAAGCCCCACGTGATGCTCAAGGGGCTGGAATGTGCCATTCGCGATCCTCCTGACTCCAGCCTGGGGCGCGTGATGAGAGCAGCAAGCAGAAACGTCGATAATGCGGTTGGGGTACCGTATCTCGGCCCGTACCCGCGTCACCCTTAATGCTTGATACGCAATTATCCTGCACAGCAGACGGCGCAAATTATGTGCGTCCAGCGCATGATATAACAGGGTCATGGAGAGTGACGCTGGTGACCCTGTTACTCATGACCACAATGCAGCTTGGCTTTCGAGCACTGATGGACCCGCTACGACGTATGCTAGAAACAGATCGAATCATACACTGAATTTTCGGCACGCACGCGGCATACGGTATTGTGACAGTGCCCCAATTTGCCGATTGAGCAAACAGCGCTCGTGCTGCTTGGAGCCTTTCCGATGCCGAGCACAAGACCGCTCCAATGCTTTCGCGTGCAGCTACCCCCGCACCAGCCCCAGCGTCCGCATCGCCGTCCATTGCGGCAGTCTGTGGCCGCTCGCGCAGCCGCTCGTGCTGCCTCGCTGGAATCATTGCTTGATGCGCCGGCTGGGGTGGAGCTGCCACGTGTAGTGCCACTAGCGCAGCAGTGCCGGGAGCTCCGTGGGAAGCTGCGTGGAGAGCTGCTGGCTGGTGAGGTTCCGGGACGCGGCAACAGAGCAGCAGGGTGGTGTCACGGGCGGGTGCGGCAACAGGCGTGGTGTCGTGACGGAGCGTCGCGGCGTGTTGGCCCGGCCCTCGTCACTTGTGCAGCGGCGGTATCTGCCGGGCCTGCCAAGGGATGGCGAGTGATGCACTGCTGCAGGTGCTCCCTGACTTGCGAGACCTCAAGCTGGGGCGCTGCCTCGCACTGCAACGGCCTGCCTGGCGCCGACACCCCCAACCCTGCACCTCTTTCGCCCGGTTGTCTTCGGCAGGCGGCTTTGTGTGGCTGGCATCGGGCGACCTCGTGACCCGCAACGCTGATGTGCACCACCCCTACCGCCCCGCCAGCGACTTTTTCTACCTGGCTGGGGTCGCGGAGCCGGGCTGGGGGTGCCTCTTAGACCTGGAGACAGGTGGGTGGCCCTGTTTGGGCAGCCGGGTGGCGGGGCAGGCATGACGCTTGCAGATGTGGGTTTGGCCCCTGGACAGCTGGGCGGCAGCAAGGAGCCTGCTTGGGAGTGGGCTGTGAGCAGCGGTCAAGTGCCGGGGCGCAGGGAGCACAGCTGTTCAAAACTCTCCGGCCGAAGCTGCATAGACACGTCACACTCAGCATTCCCAGGATTCTGCAGCGCACAAAGCAATTGGCGGACCGCTCATCAGGGCGCCGCGCCACCAGCCGCACAGCACAGACCTTGCACCGGCTGCACATCGCCATCCCGCGTCAACCCCTGCACTTTCAGGCGCCTTCACCCTGGTGGCCCCCAGGGTGCCGGAGGATCTCGCGATCTGGTCCGGCCCGCGGCCATCCTTGGACGACGTCGCGTCCCAGGTTGGCGCCGACGCCGCGATCTACTCCGAGGACGTGAAAGGCCTCTTGGAGGCCAAAGCGAGCGCATCCAACGGCGGCGGCGGCAGCAGCAGCAGCGGATTGATGGTTCACACGCTGGAGGAGATGGCGCCGGCGCTGGCGGCTGCTGGCGTGGATGGGGAGGGGAGCGTGCGGTTGACCACGGACTTTTTGCCTGCGGCGCTGGCGCGCAGCAGGGGCAGGAAGACGGTCGCTGAGGTGGGCTGGCGGGCGGTGGTCTTGTCGGGCCGTGCCTGCGGACGGTGCCGTATGATGGCCGCCTCGAGCCAATCGAGGAGACAGCGCAGGCTCTCGCTGCTGCCGCCGCATGCGAGAGCCTGCAGCGTCTGCCTGACCTTGGTATGTCACTCATCACCCGCCGACTGCAACCCCCAACCATCTTGGCGGTTACACACACACACACACACACACACACACAGATCGCGTGCCTCCTGGAGGCCAACCGTGTGTCAGCTGCCGCCCACGAGGCCATCTGGCGGTCATGCAGGCCGGGCTGCTATGAGTACCAGCTGGAGGCCGCGTTCGTGTCCTCCTGCATGGGCGCGGGTCTGAGGCAGCTGGGGTACCCCGCCATCGTGAGTGTGGCCGCGCACCCCTCAAAGCGTCCAGCCCCGCTTGAGGGTGTGCGTGTATTGTTGGGGGTGTGTGCACAACACCAGTGAGCCTGCGCCGCGGCTCCTGAGCTGCAGGCGCCACCCAAGGCCCCAGGGTCGCCCTGCTCCCCATGTGGCTCTGAGCCCGCCGCTGCCGCCCCTGACGCGCCTCCATCACCCTACATAGGTGGGATCGGGTCGGAATGCGGGCGTGCTGCATTACGACCGCAATTCCTCGGTGGTGGGGCGCGACGACCTGGTGCTGGTGGATGCAGGTGAGAGGCGCCATGGCGGTGCGGGGGAGGGGGATACTGCAACCATCAGGGGCATGCAGGGCTGTCTTCAGCGATCGCGTGTTTGTTCATGTCGAGGGACCCCAAGAGGGCCGTCTGGCTCTGTAGGCATGTGCTTGGCAGGTGGGCTGTAGACCGCTCTGAGCACCTGGGATAGGAGGAACGAGCGATTGCTGACGATCTATTTCGTCTGTCGTTTGTAGACAGGTGTATGTCATTGGTAGACGTGTGTGGTCTGGCGCACACTTTGGGCCCTGTCATACTTAACACGTCACTGAACCGCACCCAACTCCCCTCCACCAACCCCCATCAAAACCACCCCAGGCGCAGAGTTCCGCTGCTACACGGCGGACATCACCCGCACCTTCCCCGCCGCCGGCGCCTTCACCGCGCAGTCCAGGGCGGTCTACGACCTGACCCTGGCGATGCAGACCGCCGCCCTGGCGCGCGTGCAGGCCGGCGCGGACTGGAAGGCCGACGTCGATGCGCCGGCGCGGCGGCTGATGCTGGAGGGTCTGAGCGGCATGGGGCTGGTGCGGGGCGACATCGAGGTGAGGGGTCGTTGCTTGGGGCAGGCCTTGGCGTACTGGATGTTTATATCAAATTGGCGGCTTGGCGCGGGCCCGGCTTGCAAATGTGTGATTGCGCTCGTTGCTGTCATTCTTGTTGATGGTGACTTTGATCGACAAGGCTGGCAGCTCTCCTGCTGGCCTCCGGACTGCAGGGTTGAATGCCACTTGCTTGCATGCGTGTACATTCCAATCCTACACTTACCCATCGCTTTCACAAGCCTCAATTCGCGCTGCTGCCCTCAACCTCCAGGCCATGCTTACCGCGCGCGTGGACCGCATCTTCTGCCCCCACGGCCTGGGCCACCACCTCGGCCTCGACGTGCACGACACCTCGGACACCGGCGCGGTGCCCGCAACCTTGGAGGCGGGCCACGTGGTGACCGTGGAGCCGGGGGTGTATTTTATGCCGCTGCTGGTGCAGCGCGCGCTGGCAAACCCCGAGCAGCGCGACTTTCTGAATGCCAAGGAGCTGGAGGGGTGGATGGGCCTGGGGGGCGTGCGTATAGAGGACAATGTGGCGCTCATGCCGGCAGGGGTCAAGGGCGGCGGCGAGGGGGCTGGAGGCGTGCTCAACCTGACGGCGGCGGCGGGTGCAGCGCCGAAAGCGGCGGATGCCATTGAGGCAGTGATGGCAGCTGGGGCGGCGGCAGGGGCTGCGAGGCAGCGGTGACGCCTGTGTGAGCCTGCTCTTGTTTGGCCCGTCTCCAGTGACCTGCGAACTGAGGCAAGCCTTGTGTGACTGATATTCTTGTTAGGCATTTTTCTGGTGATCCACCTCTTCCTGCCTAGCACACAGCCATCCTTTCGTGGCATGTTGCTGCACCCCATGACAATTTTTAGATGTTTGAATCGTCCCATTGCAAAAACACCAGCCCAAAAGTCTTCAATTGTGCGACCACCACACACCAGGGACAGGACTGTGCTTGACATGGCCTGAAGCGCCCTCATACTGCCAGGGAACAGTGATGCACTGCCCAGCTGGCTCAAACACAAACACCAAAACTGCGTTGATGCGAGACAGTTACAGCTTTGTGTTGGGGCTGCAGTCGTGTCATGGAAAGCCCAGGGATTGAAACAACGCCGCTACTGACAAGGCATCAAGGCGGCGAGATTGCCCCACGCTCTACATCCTGAGGCGTCGAACGGCAGGGGGGGGAGATGAAGTGGGAGGGCACTGGGCTTGACTGCGTGCAAGTGGGCCATAACGGATGACACAAGCTGCGCAATGCAGCAGGTCCCCACCCTCGCGCACCAAGGTCTGCACCCACCTGATCGTGTGGCGGCGCCTGCGCCAAGGCTGCCATCCAGTGTGGCCGCCATCCAGCATGCGGCGCCGCAGCAAGGGCCTGCCAAAGGAGGAGGGGGCCAAACAGGCCATGTGTGTGCGTGAGTCGGCATGCGCTTGAGATGCCTAAATTGACGGCAGCTGGCACACAGAAATCACACAGCCCCGTACACTGCTTCAACCCAAATATAACCCAAGATACCAATTGCACGACCACTCAGC